AGATGCTGTTTCATACAGTGGCAGACCACCTATAATTCCAGACTCCATGAGAGACAGAGAGATGGGGATCCCTGGAGCAAGCCGCATAGACTAGCCAAATTGCTGATCTCCAGGTTCAGGGAGAGACCCTACCAATAAGAGAGAAGAGATGCCCTTCATACACATGTGCACAGTCTCACACATATGCAAACAGGTACATACATACATGCACACATGAAGAGACCTCTGAGGAGAGAAGAAACGATCTAAATGGGTCAGGGAGAAGGGAACAGTGAGGGTAATGAGGGGGTAAAAACATAAGAACTTTAATAAAAGCAGACTAGAAGACAGAGTCACCCAGTGGGATCATGTAATTACCATGGGACAGGCCCTGAATCCAATGCCCAGCACTGAGTCTATATGGCTCCCACAGGAAAGTGTTCAGATGGAACAGCAAGTTCTCAAGTAAGGACTTTTTGGCTGTCCTTGTGTCGTCCCAGCTCCATCTCTGTGCTGGATGGTTTTATGTCAGCTTGACACATGTTAAAGTCATCTAAGTGGAGGGGACCTCAATTATGAAAATGCCCTCATAAAACCGGGCTGTAGGCAGGCCTGAAGGGCATCCTCTTGGTTACTGATTGATGGGGAAGGGCCCAGCCCACTGCGAGTGGTGCCATCCCTGGGCTGGCAGTCCTGGGTTCTGTAAGAAAACAGGCTGAGCAATTGATACTGGGCCATGAGGAGCAAGTTAGTAAGCAGCACCCTCCGTGGCCTCTGCATCAGCTCCTGCCTCCAGGTTCCTGCCCTGTTGGGTTCCTGTCCTGACTTCCCTCAGTGATGGACTACAATGTAGAAGCATAAGCCATGTAAACCCTTTCCTCCCCAGCTTGCTTTTGGTCATGGTGTTTCCTCACAGCAATCGTTACCTGACTGGGACACTCTAACGTCTAAGCTCCACAGCACTGCAGGGTTCACGAAGGGCTTTCACAGACACCGCCATACGTGTCCCCATCTATCACCACAGTAGGGAAGTACCTCACTTAGTCAATTATGAGTCTCGGAGCAGCATCTTCTGCCTGCAGATGAGAATGGTCTGCTTGAAACACAGTTCCACTCCACCAGCTAGTTGCCAACCCGGTGCGCACACAGGCTCCAGAATGCCAGGTACCACATGGGATGAAGCTGTACCACTGCTTTTAGTGACCTAAAACCCCAGCTCTGGCTCTGTAAGGTTCCTGGTCCCTTTCTGGAGATGGAGCCATGTCTCCAGCCTCACTTGGTGCCAGGTGAAAAGATCAAGACCATCTTAGAGGCAAGAAAAATATAGTGAAAACCAAACAACTAGAAAATTTAACCCCACAGTGGAGGTAAAACTACAGGTCAAATCAACGTTATGTAGAAAGTTCAGCGGGCATCCTGCCATATCTTTCTTCAAGGATGCTTTATTTTATGTTTGCATCTAGTTTCAGAATCAGCTGCCCTATGGGCAGGATCTCATCTTAATAAATTAGGAGAAAATATTTGGAAAATCATCTCCAGGATGAAGCACACCACCCAGGTTGTTTCTAGTTGTTCACGAACTCAAACTTAGTCCAGACGGAACCACGCTGTGTTTAATAGAGCACATGGTTGGCATTTAATAAATGCTAGATAATAAAAAGAGATGAAGTGCTTCAAACTCACAGTATCTGTAAAGTCTCATTAAGCACAAAGTAGGGTAAACAAGCCACCATCACCCTTCTTCTGCACTACACCTGAAGGTTCCTTCCTCTGGGCTGCCATTAAAAACATAGCTCCCATTTCTAAGTGGATACTGAGACACAGAATGGCGAGGCTCACCAACACTATGGTGAGAGAAACGGGGAAGGGAGCTCTTTTGTTCGGCCTCTTCCTCAATTATAGCTTGAATCTAAACAATGAAAATACAGCACACGGGTTCTGAAATAATTTAGAGCAAATGAAAAGCCATAGGGTGGGGGCGCTAATCACATTATCGGAGGCAGGATCAGAGGGACGGACAGATGGAAGCCCCAAATTACCAGCAGAGGAACAAGAGACTCCAGGACGGGAGAGATGTGTCCAGAAATTAAGCCCAGTTTCCATGCCAATTCAGAACTGTTTGTTTGGGGGCTGGGGGAGGAAGGAAGCAATGTAGTTTCCAGTAGAGAAACCACTCATTAATACCCTAGCAAAGCAATAACCTCAGCGAATAGGAAATATTGTGATGTCTCCAGAGAACAGAGGGAAAATTCAGATTTACTCTCCCCTCCACGCAGCTCGGTGTAATACAATATATTCAACAGAGTTGAATAAATACCAGCGAGAAGGTTAAAACATTGATTAGGAGAAATATTTCACCGGGCTGACATCTGGAAGCAAACAGAGCAGCAAGACAGAGCAGGCTGCGAGATGGAGGTTGTTTGATTTCTAGGAAGTTTCACTGCTGATTTGTGGCTGCCCCGCAGGGAGTGAGGCCTGGTGGGGGAGTGGGAAACCAGGAAGTCAAGGAGGGAGGGGCGGCCCTTGGTGCAAAACTACCGAGTGAGGGCGGTTTCCATTGGGTTTATCACAGTGTTTTATGAAGCAATACAAGAGACATCTTCAGCCTACACCAGGATTGCAATAGACACATAATATAACAAATGGCTTATAAAAGGTTATGGAATCTTCTAGATGACTGCGGCTAAATAAATGGTCTCCTGTCTGGGCTTCTGGTATCATATCATCTCACAGCGTTTGTCTCGTCATAGTCCAAACAAGGGAAAGATGTCAGAGGTTAGGATGACAGTCGGAGGAAACAGCTCCTTGCTACTTTTGCACTTTACAGACTGGGTTCTAGTTGTACTTTCCAGTTACTAATGACCATGGGAATGGGTTGGAAAGCTCACACCAGCTACCTGATGCTGAGCAAAAGTACCCTTGACTCCCTGAGTAGCATTGGATCTTGGTTGGGGATGGGGGCTACAGGAAGCTCCCAGAGTTCCTGGCTGGCTAGCATGAGTCTGTGCACATGCAAGAGTACCTTGGATCTCTTGCCACACAGAGTACCTGCCTTTTACAGGGAAAAACAAAGTCGCTGGCAAACTGACCCAAAGTAACTGCATCCGAAGATCTTAATGAGATCCTTAAAAAGCAAAACAAGCCACACATTTTCATAGCTTGCTCCAGTTCTGTTGTTACCTGTGCTCCTCACCTTGGTGCAATAGACTTTTGAGGCTCTCTGGCAATTAAGAAAATGGGCATAATTGAGCTCTCAAAAGGTATTTTGTGCTGGGAGGAGTAGGTAGGAAATAACAGAATGCTAATTGCTGCCGTTCATCAAGCGGCGCTCTGCCGGTGCATCGCTGATGCTTCAGAACTCAGCCCGCAAGGTGGCTGCTGTTCTCCCTGCCGTGCAGATGACGCAAATTACATCATAGTGAAGTTACCGCCTGCCCCGTGTCACACACGTTAGGAAGGGTCAAAGTCAAGACTGTCTGCTGTCCAAAACCTAGAATCTTTGTACAACTGGAGGCCTTGAGACAATGGAATTGCCTGCCGTGTGGGTGTCTAGAGTGCCCTTGGGTAGTCCAGCAACCCCAGTGTCACAGATAAAGGGTGGAACACTGAGTAGTCACTTGGGTTTGGGTCACAAAAATACTTTCTTTTCCTCCAGATTCTTCCCTTCATGCTGGAGTTAAACAGGGGCTCTCATACCCGCTAAACAGGTACTCTACCACTGAGGAATGTCCCCCAGAATTAGTGTTGTTTACTCACCTGCTGGTTTTCTTATGCTGAATCTCATTATTCTGCCCAGGCTGGTCTCAAACTTCCGGACTCACTCAGGTAATTAGGTCTCGGCCTCCCGAGTACCTGAGCCTGCAGACATATGCCACTGAACCTGGCTCCAGCTTAATCCATGTGCACACACTCACAGATACACACACGCAAATGCGCATTCCCTCACATACAAACACTCACACATGCACATACACACACCCTCACACACAAACACATATACTTGCACAAGCACATGCACTCACACAAGCCCACACTCTCATGCAAACACACATACATATACACATACACTCACAGGCACATATATTCACACACGTACGCACACAGACACATACATACACCCTCACACACAAATACACATACTTGCACAAGCACATGCACTCACACATACATATACACATACACTCACAGGCACATATATTCACACATGCATGCACAGACACATACATACACTCACACATGCACACATTCACATATATACACACACTCACACATACACTCACACGTGCACACCCTCACACATACACGCACACATCCTCACATATACAGACACATACACCCACACATGCACATTCTCACTCATATACATATACTCACACACGCGTGTAAGCACACACACACACACACACAGAGTCTTACAAGTACCTGCATCACTTTCCTGCCATCCTCCCTCCCTCCTCTGCTGCTCTCTAACCAGAAATTGGTTAGAAATCCTGAAGTTTCCACTTCATCCCAAGCATCTGATCTTGGGACTGGCACAGCTGGACTTTAGGAAGATTGACTGAGCAGCTGGATCCTGATAAGTACGACAGAATGGAAAAGGAGAGCGAAGAGGAGACCCATGGACGGTTACGGTAGCATCTAAACCAGAACTTTAAATTTGGCAGAGTGAGGAAACTTAACAGGTAATTCCCAGACATAGGAATAGTGGAGAGGAAGGGGCTGAAACTAACTCAAAAACCCAAGAGGTTGAGCTTGCCATTAGAGGAAGGAAGAGTGGGGGGGGGGGAGGCCTCGAAGGTAAATACAGTTCATCTGTGGCCAACTTGAGATCCCGTTAGCAGTGTTGAATCAATTCAGGCATGTCCATCATGAAGTTAAGGATATAGCAGCAGATGGAGAACCACGTGGCACTTTGGTCCACGCATTCCAGCTGGACTCACGCCAGGCGCCTTGGGATTCCCGAAAATCCACAGCTGCAAGGGCTGTATAGAATCTCTCAGCAGAGGAAGGGGACCAGAATGTGGTGTATCCATACGATGGAATATTAATGAGCTGAAAAGAGAGTGACATACTGATGCATGAAGTGCGAACCCTGATAACTTTATGCTGGGAAGCTGGTCACGAAAGGTCACGTAGTATATGATCCATCTGTGTGAAATACAAATAGGTAAGTCCGTGGGCAGGAAGCAGTTGCTAGAGGCTGAGAGAAGAGGCTAGGGGGATGTGGTGAGGAAATGGCCTAGAATTGCAATTATGGTTGGCAATATGAGCATATACAACGAGCATTGAACTTTCTACTAAGTAGTGAACTTTATGGAACACGGTGTATGAGTGTGTATGCAAGTGTGTGTGTGCATGTGCGTGTATGCATACATACAAGTCTGTGTTGCGACATACACGCCTGTGTGTGCTAGTGTACATACCTCTGTGCACACGGCATCTTCCTCTATTGATCTCCACTCTTTCCTCTTCTGTTTCTTACTCTCACTGTTGTGTGTTTGTTGTGCTAACACCGGTGAAAGTCAGAAAACCACCCTGTGAAGTTCAGGACTTTTATTGGCTGGGCTGAGCCTCTCCACATTTTTTTTTTTTTTTTTGAGACAAGTTGACTCAGTGAACCCTGGGCTTGCCATTTTAGCTGAACTGGCTGGCCAGCAAGACTCTGGGATCTGCCTGCCCTCTAACCCCCAGCACAAGGATTACACATGCCACCAGGTCTAGCTTTTAATGGGTGTTGGGGATCCGAATTCAGGTCCTTCTGCTTGAGAAACAAGCACTTCACCCAGCCAGCCACTTGCCCAGCCTCGCAGGACATTTGATTTGCAAATGCTTCCGTTGTTTTTAAAGGCTGGGTAGTACTATTTGGCTCAGGTGAGCCTCATGATTCTCCTGCCTCAGTCTTTGGAAGGTTGAGATTATAGGCTTAGTGCACTAATGTTTAGTTGGCTGTACATTCTTTTAAGGAAGAAACTATTTCTGCAGCCAGTAGCAAAGACAAAGTCCTGAACCCTGGTTCCAGTAGGGTGTGCATCAGAATCGCCACTAGCTCCAGGGGCCTTATCTATGAAAAAGGTGACACGCACTTGCCTCCAGGTCCCAACAAAGATGACAGGTACTGTCTGTCAAATGTACAGTACCCGAAACATTTTATACTCTGTAAGCTGGAACTGATATCTTTCATTCTTGTGACTGAGTCCTCTATAAAAATGTGATTAGTTAGCTTTCACAGAATAAGCACTCAAAAACACTAACTTTAACTAAGAAGAGGGGGTCAGAAGGGTCACGAGGAAGACTCACGCACAGAGGGCAGTAACTGGTGGTGACAGGAAAAGTGTGAGCAGGACCTTGACAGCTGGAAGGAAGTGGTGCCTTCAGACTTGGGGACATGTGGAGTGGAGGCAGGCAGGACCTGAAAAGCCAGGCCAGGGAGACAGGAAGTGGCTAAATTTCCTCCCGAGAGGTCACAGTGGGATGTGGAAGAAAATAAAGCTGGCTCGGTAAATCAGAAACCTGTCAGAGACTGAGCAATTCAGTCTCACTAGAGTGGTAACCAGTGTCTGTGTAGTTTCTTGGGCAGGCAAGTGGCATGGTAAAGGCTGGGCCTTTGGCACAGTCAAATGGGTAGTCGCATGTGTGGCGGGCTGGAGAGTAGAGGAAGCAATTTATGCAGATGTTAGTGTGGAGCTGTGTGGCAAAATGACCTGGTTACACTGGAAATATAGCAAAGGGAACATCAGGCAGTCAAAAAGAAAGAGATCATAGGGCCTGGTAACAAACACTACAAGGATCCTGAGGCCTATGTTTCTTTTTCCTTTCCTTTTTTACCTTCTTCAAGCTATCATCAAACACTCAGTAAGCCCTTGTTTTCAAGAACAAAGCTAGGAATAAGTGAGCCAATTAATCAATGGCCTCTTTAGTCACTGCTGCCCAGCTATTCTGGCTCCAGATAACAAGATTCCTATTTCCATTTCCTAGGTCTGCCGGGCCTTGATTGCAATTCCGCTTGATGTATCTTTGAAGAGAGATGAAGGAAAAAAGTTGAGCATGTAAGTTAATCATAACTCATGTTTAAAGATCCCGAACCTTTCCCACATAATCCCATTAGAAAGCCAATCCCCCCCCCACAGAGAGCAAACATTAGACTCCATATGTATTATAGTTGAAGGAATGTCACTGACTGCCCGAGTTAGAATGTATCCACAAAAGTTTCTAAGAAGGCAGCTTGGGAACGTAAGACTTGAGTCTTTTGCTTTCAGGAGCTGGACATAAAAAAAAAAAAAAAAAAAAAAAAGTTTATCCCTCGCCCGAGCTGTTAGTTTGTAAATACATGGTGGTCTTCTGAGTTCCCCGGGGCTTATTCTCCACGCCAGAACCAGAACCATCATTATGGTGGCACATCAGCTGGACAACTCATCAATCCAGTTAGCTCATATTCTGGGCACTCAGAGTTTAGCCCCTGCATTCCAAAAAGGCCATTGCTGTGGGCAGAGCTGGGAGGGAAATGGGACTTCACTGTCCCTCCTCAGACAATGCTTGACCATGCTCCCAGGAACCAGCAGTCAGCTCTTCCTCTGCTAACCTGCCAGCCTTTCACGCAAGTGTGACTGAACTCGGATCCTCATGTTTGTCAGACTGTCATTGACTGAGCCATCCTGCCAATCCTAGTAAACTGGGTTTTATTTTTGGTATTTTGAAACAGGCTCTGTGTAGGCCCTACAACTCACTAGGTAGAGCAGACTGACCTTGAACCTACAGATGCCTGTCTTCCTACCTCTCTCTCCTGGTGCGGGGATTAAAGGTGTGTGGGATTTTTAAAAATAAAATTACCCTGTAGGTTTGTATTAACTACCTTTTCCAGTTATGCGTGTATATTTTATTTCCATCAATAAATTCTAAACTGCAAGTATAAAAGCCAATCTCCTACTTTACTAAGCACATAAACTGCATTCTGGGACACAAGACTCATTGGGGTGGCACATACTTGTAAGCCCAGTTTGGGGATTGGAGGAACATTAGGGCTCACTCACCAACCAGCCTGCAGTTCTAGGCTGAAGATAGACCATGTCTCAAAGGAGATGGCCAGAGTTTAAGACACCCAAAGTTGACCTCTGGCATCCACACACATATGCATTGCACACATGAACACGTACATACATAGGCACATTTTTGAAAAAGGATACAAGATGTGTTGATTGGAAAGCCACTATAGTTTCCCTTTCCCAGTCTCCTGATTGATCAAGTATGTGTGCATGCATGCGGAGCCTGATGGTGGAATTATCGCAATCATTCCTCTGCCTTACTCAACACAGCAAGGGCTCTCAATCAAGCCCGGAGCTGTGATACGGCTAGTCTGGCTAGCTAGCTCGCTCTGGAACACCGTCTCTGTCTAAGGCTGAAATCACAAGCAGACTGCTAGCCCACCTGGCACTTACGTGGGTTCTCAGAAGCCACACTTTGGTCTTCATACTTGGCCAGCAACTGCTTAATTCAAGCCATCTCCCCAGCCATCTTACTGCGTGTGTGTACTGACTGCATACTTAGTTTATTGTCTTTTAAGGTTTTTTGTTTGTTTATTGGACTTGAGTTTAAGACTGAGTTTCAAAAAACAGCATGAGGTCACAGAAATGGAATTTGGTAGAGTTTAATTTTTCAAATGGAGAGAGTTGTATGAAATTTTAATACTTTTACAGTTTGTGTTGCCTCACCTGGTAAGGGCAATCTTCTTTGAATGTATAATAAATTGGCTTTTTGACTCAATATCACGTAGGCAGTTGTTCCATGTGAGAAAAGTGGAAATCTGCGGGTTACCCAGTCAAGATCATGTGACAAAGATGAAGATGGGGTGGAACTGGATCCTGATGCTGTGTGGTCTGTGTACCTCTTGATTATGTCAGGGAGTCAACAGTTACTTTCCTATATTGACGAGGACACCGTTTCCTGTTCCATCCTGCTGACATCTGCACTGATGACAAGAAGCAATGGCGAGTGGTAGTCTTGGAGAGGGAAGACAGGACACCTAACGACAGTTAGTGGTTCCTCACCGCTGCTCACCTGCAGAGCAGGGCGAGATTCCCTCAAGGGTGCCCCGGATGACCAGCTGAAAACCTGTAACTTTATGAAGCCTCAATCCTGGACATATCACCACCCACACACCTACACCCACACATACGCAGGTGATGACAGGGACTGAACCCAGAGCCTCGAGTGAAACCCCAGTCTAGACCTCTTACCTTTTATATTAATATTAAATATTTGCTGAAATAATCATAGGGTATGGAAGAGGAATATAAAAAGCACACCTAAGTGTTTATATGAAAATTGCTTCATTTTCTGTATTTTGAAAAGAAAGCTGGCTGGGAGCAAGTGGGGATGGTGTTCAAGTTATGTCCTGATGCATGCATGTTTGCCATTGGAGATAGGAGTAAGGACTTCTTTCTTTTTTTTTTTTAAATATTTATTTTATTTATTTATTACGTATACAATATTCTGTCTGTGTGTATGCCTGCAGGCCGGAAGAGGGCACCAGACCTCTTTACAGATGGTTGTGAGCCACCATGTGGTTGCCGGGAANTATGCCTGCAGGCCGGAAGAGGGCACCAGACCTCTTTACAGATGGTTGTGAGCCACCATGTGGTTGCCGGGAATTGAACTCAGGACCTTTGAAAGCGCAGGCAATGCTCTTAAACCACTGAGCCATCTCTCCAGCCCAACTTATGTTGAGTGCCCACGAAGGCCAGAAGAAGGAGTCAGGTCCTCTGGAGCTGGAGTTACAGAGGGTGATAAGCTTTCCGGAACGGTTCCCAGGAACTGAACTCCAGTCCTCTGGAAAAGCAGTACATGGTCTTAAACTGAGCAACCTCTGCTGTCCCTGTCGATTTCAAACAAGGCTTAGAGTATAGTGAACTTTTTTTTTTGAGAATCTAATGTCCAAAAGGTTTAACCAAAAATACTTCAAAATACTAATCATATTTTGTTAAGCATCTTAATAGGCTTTTCAGGTGCTGTACCCCAGAATATTTGAAACTACTCTCCCATGAATAAGTGAACATTACAACTATGCTTCAAAATACAGAAAACAGCAAAAGCCAGTCAGCATTCTGAATGAACAGCACCTCTGAACAATCAAAACTGCTGCCCCTGAGGAAGTCAGTACTGGGCATGAGAGATAGAAGACATCTTTTCACCCAGGACAGCAGTAAGTCACTTTCTCTAAGGAAAAAGCTGGCGCAAGAACCTCACCACTTGGGGGCTGGAGAGATGGCTCAGTGGTTAAGAGGTCTTCCAGAGGTCCTGAGTTCGATTCCCAGCAACCACATGGTGGCTGACAACCATCTGTAATGAGATCTGGTGCCCTCCTCTGGCGTGCGGGCATACATGGAGGCAGAATGTTGAATACATAATTAATTAATTAATTAATTAATTAACAAAAAACTCTTCTATTAAAAAAAAAAAACCCCCCCCCCCAAAAATGCAAAAAAAAAAAAAAAAAAAAACCTGTCAGCTTTTGCCAGGCGAAAAACTGCATACACCTTTAATCTCAGCATTTGGAAGGCAGAGGCAGGTAGATCTCTGTGAGTTTGAGGCCAGCCTGGTCTACAGAATGAGTTCCAGGACAGCTAGGACTACCTAGAGAAACTCTGCCTCAAAAAAACAAAAAATGGTGAAAACAGCAAAATTAATATGTATAATTCCAAGTTTGTTTAAAAAGTAATAATGGAATATACCAAGAGTTAAAAAAAAAAAAAAAAGACATGGTCTCACCGTGTAGCCCAGGCTGACCAGAACTCGCTATGAGGACTAGGCTGCCTTTAAACTCAATAGATTGCCTCTGCCTCCCAAGTGCCAAGTGGTATCAAAAGTATGTTCTGCCATGCCCAACCCACCAGTGCTTAAAATCCAGGGACAAGGCCTCGCTAGCAGGGGGAGGTCAGCCACCTGCACCCGCTGCAGAGGTTTGCAATGATCCAAAGACCCGTCTACCAGTAAAGATGTCACAAGAAGCAGGACAGGCAGGTGAGCCACTGCCAGGGAGACTAGTTAATGGCTCCTTGTCCACTCAATTTCTCAGAAATAACTTGTATAGCCAGGTGTGGTGGTGACACCTGTAATTTCAGCTCTTGGGAGGCACAGGCAGGCAGGGACTCGAGGCCAGCCCAGGACGAGACCCTGTCTCAAATAATGAACAATTTGCACGAGACAAATCGGAATTCATACAATAAAAAGCCACATACTTGGTTCTTTTAAGCTTATTTAATATTTGAACTCTTATTTTCTATTTTCCCAGACCCCAGAAAACAGAAAGTTTTAGATGACCCAATATTTTGTTCCAGAAACATACAGCCTTATCAGCTAATTCATAAAAGAGCTTTTTACAAAGGTACATCTGGATAATTAGAGCAATAAAGTCTTTTAGGCATTTCAAAATGTGATCAGTAAAAATACATGATTATTAATAAGGTTTTTTTTTTTTTAAAGATAGTTCCAGATTTCTCTTAAAAGCAATTTCTGTTAAAGAGTACATGATTGTATGGTGAACAAGGAAAGTGAGACACTCTAGTGGGGAAGAGGCTCATTAAAAACCAACAGTGTGCACGCTACGGTCACCATGCTGTAGTGTCTGCTTAGCGGGTGGCACCTGGAAATGGAGGGGAGGGATTGGTTTCTAGGAGTCCCCCTTTTTCCTGATCAATTTATTACCCAAACCCTCAGTCCCCATGGGGAAGGCAAACAGGCAGAACAAGAAAGCTCCTTTCTTGAAGAAAGAACAATTTTACAGATCACACTAAATGGGGGTGAAGTGTGAGAAAAACAAAACCATGGTCTACGGAACACTTCTGCAAAGTCTTGCTAATGTTGTAGTTTAAGGTCCTATGGTGCCTTCTGCAACACAGAGGGAAGGAAGTACAGAGCATGCATAAGTGGCTCTAAACACGTTCCCACACCTGCAGAGACGAGACTGCTTGGCTGGAATACAGGCGAAGGCACCAGACCATCGCCAATGCCAAGGAGCAGAGCAGAGAGTAAACTACTGCATCTTAGGAAGCATACTTACAGTTTTCTGCTCCTAAAAATAGGCAAAGAAGGACTTTTTTTTTCCTCCCTCCCCCAAAGACAAAGAAACAAAACACTTTCTAAAAGAGGGCTTGTTCTTTCTAGAGGTCATTAGAAGGTGTTTGGAGAAGACAAAGGCGAAAACACCCATGTAATAACCTCCCATGTGAGACAATAAATAGTTACAATTTGGGTTGTGAAAGCAGCAGAACTCCAACAGTCCAGTTGGCTGCTTTGAAACTATACAAAATACACAGCCAAAGCCATCCTTTTAAATTACAGTACTTTGAAGGTTTGCTGGCTTGGCTTGATTACGGCTTTTCTCTGAAAAGGAGACACTCCACACATAATCTGCCACTTAGTGACAGAAGAGCCACTAAGCTCACAAGAGAGCAGTGTCAGGGGTTGTGCCCATGGCACATACGACTTTCTGGCTCTGCAGAAGACGCTGTGTCCCTCTTGCTGGCCTAGTACTCCTCAGGACAGAAACAGACTGCACCTTCTCATCACCCAACTTGGAGATAACTATGACGATGATAACCTCATTCCAGAAGAGGAGGAATACCTACTGTCACCACCATGGAAGGGACATGCAATGTCAAAGTCAAATGGATGTGATTATAATGGCCACAATGAAATGGAAGGCACGGGAGGCCAAAAGGGGAGGGACAGGCAAGAAGTAAGGCTGGTAAGAAAAAGGAGCTCTCAAAAAAGTGGTTTTTTTTTGTTTTTTGTTTTTCTTTTCAGATTTCACTTGGTTTTGAGGTTTCACCTGAAGATGTAATAAATACGCATTTATTTGGAAGTACTGGAGCAATGCCAAAGTACCTTTCCAGTTAGCCCTGCTGTAACCCTAAGAGAGGCTGAGAGTCAGGAAAAGGAGAGCAAGCAACCAGGAGAAAGGAGTTCAAGTTGAGCTGTGCTAGAGGACCATGGAAGGACCTGTAGTGTTGGAAGCCAGCAGAGCACTGCTGTCTGGTTTTCTCCTGATGAGCTACCCAGATGGTGTAGTGTAAGAGGCTGCCTGGAAGACAACAGAACCATTTGGTCTCTACTTGCTTCTCCTAAGAGATACAGGGAGTTCAAAATCCCAAACTTCACTTATAATGTTCCACATCAAAATTTCAAAGCCCATTCTGAGCTATGCTTGACCTATGACTCAAAATACAATTCCAATTTAGAGATGAGGTACAAGGATCCAAGCTGATCGATCTAAGAAGGGCAGAAACGGGAATCTGGACCCAGACAGACAAACTTGTTAAGTTGTAGAGGTTCATAAAAGCAGCTAGGGGACCATCCACAGTGAGAAAAACCTGGGTTTGAGGGGCACTAAGGGGAGAATAAAATTACATCCTGACTGCCCCCAGAGTTCAGGGGGCCCTCCTGCAAGATGTGAGTAACATGTGAACTCCTTGTTTATTAACAGAATTTAGATTTGACAAATGATTTTTTTTTACAGAACACTTCAAAAACATATTTACCAAATACACAAAGAAAACCACTGAAAGCCAACACAAGTAAGGAGTTCTCAGCCACAGCTCTGACTAGCTCACCCTCCACAGGTGCTGCCCACACTGCAGCTACCACCAGCACCTTGGTGGCTGCACTGCTCACCTCTGGTCTCAGTTCCCAAGGCCAGTCACGGTGCCATGCAGGCAGGGCTGTGGCAGTGGGGTGATGTGAGCAACTCTCCGCCACACCTTCCTCTGCCCACTCTTGGCTCTGCTTGTGACTTTGAAGAGCCCTTTGGCACCATCAGTGCAAAAAAATTAGAGTCAAACATCCAGGTACTCATTTTTTACTGGCCTTATAA